AGGTGAAAACAGGAGGATCACTATGAGTCCAATCTGTGTAGTGAGACCCTGTACACCCTGTACTAAATACATTTTTTAAAAAGTTGCCGAGGCTGGACTCAAAACTGTGATCCTCCTGCCTCAGCCTCCCAGAGTGCTAGGATTACAGGCATGCGCGCCCTATCCCCCACCCCCAGTTTGGTTCTCACTCCTTGGCCCTCCTGCCATGTGTGTCCTCAGAGAGCTTGCCACTGGTCCCCACCCTCACAGATCTCTACCCACAGCAGGGGCTCAGTGGATGGGGTGTCCCGCTTTGCGGGAACCTGGGGTGTCTCCAGAGAGCCAGATGTGGGGAAGCAGGGAGGATGGAGTGATGGTTCAACCTGCTCAGTTTTGGGGGAGAAGGTAGGTGTCCCGGAGGGCTCCCTGAAGGAGGTGGCACACAGCAGGAGGCAAGATCTCCTTCATGGCCCCCTGCTAGGCCTGGGGATACCTGTCTGGCTCCTACCCTGTCCCAGGCACTGTGGACCACTTCAGGTTATGGATCAGGAGTGCTGTCACCCTGCCCGCGGCTTTCCAGACTTGCTGAGGGCCCATGTTCGGTCCCTGCCCCTTTGGGATTCAAGGGTGGATTCCAGGACCTCCAACCTTCCTCGGTGCCACATCCTCGGAAGCTAGAGAAAGATCCAGATGGCAGGGGAGAGAGGGGCGACCTGTGTCCCTGCGGAAGCCACCAGACACTGAAGGCGCTGGACGCTGAAGCTGCAGGATAACGTCCCCTTCCTGCTCTTCAAACCCCCCAACCTTGTTGCCTCAGTGAGGGGACAGGTTCTTTCACTGTTGCCAGAAATCTCTCTGGAGCCCTTGCTGCTGGACTTCTGGAAGCAGAGGGACCCCATGTCCCCAAGACAAAGCTTTCGCCTGGAGAGTTTCAAGGGCCCTAAGGATGTTGTGATTAACAGAGGTGGTTCTTCCAAAAGACCGCCACTGTGTGTAATTCCTCAGCACGAACGACTTCACCACTCCATCATGTGAAGGATCTGCTTTGAATTTTTTTCCTTTTAAAGCTATCCTTCTGGTTGGGGGGGGGGGGCGCGTAGACAGAGAAAGGCGATAAAGCACAGTGTAAGTCAGAGGCCGCAGGCGGCGGGAGCCCAGGTGTTCACTGTACTACACTCTGTGCTAAGTACGAAGTTTTCCACTATGAAGAGAATGTGGGGAGGACCGGCCACGGGCTGGGGACTCGCAGGGCGCACCAAGGCCCTGCTGCAGGAGCTGTCCCTACGGGGCCTCCCAGGGCCCGATTCAAGAGCCTGTGCCAGCCCTGAGCTACTCAGAAGGGGCTTCAGGGACAAGGAGTGCTGCCTGCAGGGGACAAACGCGCAGGTGGGCGCCCAGCTACTGTGTTCCTAAAAGGCCAGGGGACAGAGAGGCTGGGGGGGGTCACCCTTGCGGTTCCACCGTGGGCCCCATGTCGCCGGAGCCTTGTGCTTGGGGTCTATTCTGCCCTCCAACATTCAAGTTGGGAGCAAATTCTAAGAAACAGTCCAAAGTAAATAGCAAAGACCCAGATTTGGGTATATGCCCTGCCAGGGCGCGCAGAAGCGGGGACAGAGAGTCCCTAGGGAGGGAGGAGACGCTGCAGGCCGGGCCTTACCACGGTCCCAGCGACGCCAGGTGCAGAGTCCCACACGTAGCCCGGGGCGGGGGGGGGGGCAGTGCACAGAGGCGCGGCGCCCCGGTAAGCTGTGCGAGTGGGAGTTACCTGGGTCGTGGAAGGGCACCAGTGCGTAGTTGGCTACGAGGCTGCCGCTGCGCAGGGTCTGCTCCAGGATGCGCGAGGCGCCGTCAATCACCTGCATCAGGTCGTCCCACATGGAGCCGGTGACATCGAAGACGAAGGCTAGGGTGGCGTCCCCCGAGGCGGGAGGCAGCGCCAGCCGGGGCTCACGGGCCACCGCCACAGCTGCAGAGACCGCGGCCACCAGCAGCCGCAGGAGCTGCGCCCTGGGCATCGTGGCGAGCGCGGCGGGCGCCTGCTCCGTCGGGACGCACGGTGCTTGGGACAGGGGCGCGTGGTGGGGTCCCGCTGCTGGGAGCCTGAGGCGGGTCCTGGGCCCACCCCACCCTGCTCAAGGTCACGGGCCCGCCTCCGCCGCGCCCCCACCGTGACTCAAACTTTCCCAGCCCCGCTGCTGCCCGTCCAGACCCGGGGTTAGGGGAGGACGCGGCGGGAGGGAGGTGGGGCGGCGGCCAAGGCGGGCGCGGGGAGCCGCGGACACCTGCGCGCCCACGCGGGGCGGGAGGGCGCGGCGACGGCTGTCACCCCCGCCGGGCGCTCCCGGCCCTGTCCACCCCCACACCTTCCCATGGCGCCTCCTCTCCTCCTCCTTGAGGAGCCCCGGTGTGGAGCCCAGCCAAGCTTCCCTGGGGTAGTTAGGGCTTGGCAAGCAGCGTGCTCTAAGCGCTCACCCAGGGACAGACACGACACCAAACCCAGGTTGCAGATGAGCAAGCCAAACCGAGGCTCAGACAGGTGACCTGAGTTGCCCCGGGTCGTCCACCGCTATAGGGCCATAAGGGGGACCAGAAGCCGGATGTAGGATGACCCCAAGGCTCTGGGCTCTGCTCCAGCTTAAGTGTTGCCGGGCCTTATCATGGGTCACCCAGCGACAGAGGACTTAGCGACCCTCTGCCCACCCCGTCTCCCACATCGTGGATGGTGTGGGAAGGTTCCAGGGCTCAGGTGAGCGCTGCCTGGGCCAGGTTCCACTGCCCCCTCCTGGACATTGCTTCTCTGCAGTCTGCAGGGGCAGGGCATCCTTCCTCTGCCTTCCTGCTGCCCTCAGCTGCGCTGGGTACCCAGGGCACCTAGGGGCGGGGCTGTGCCATGGTCCTGTTCCAACAGCACCCCTAGCTCCCAACCATGTCTTTGGCATGTGGCATGGGCTCAGTAAATGCTGTAGGTGCACCTGTGACCCCAGTCTCTGGGAGGTTATGGCAGGAGAATGCGAGTCAGGGCCCAGCCTGGGCAGAGCAAGACCCTGTCTGGATTTGTTTTTAATTTTTTTTTTTTTTAAGGCCAAGCTAAGGCCTGGGAGATAGCTCAGTGGCACAAGTGCCTGCCTGGCAAGCACAAGGTCCTGATGGATCACAAGGTCCATCCCTGGAAATGAATGAATGAATGAATGAATGAATGAATGAATGAATAAAGCTGGGCTTGGTGGCACATCCCTGTAATCCTGACACTCTTGAGATTGAGGCAGGAGGATTGTGGCAAGTTCAAGACTCGCCTGGGCTACGAAGTGAGCTCAAGTCCAGCCTGAGCTGCATAGCTAGACCTTGTCTCAAAATGACACAAAAATAAATAAAATAAAGAGCTGGGGATGTAGCTCAGTGCAAAGGCCCTGGGTTCATTCTCCATTCTGCATGGGCGTGCACACGCATGCGCACGCACGCATACACACACGCACACACAGAGCTTTTGCTGGCATGCCTGATCTGAGATGCTGGCATAGTGACACACACTTGTAATTGCAGCACTTGGGAGACTGAGGCAGGAGGATCCCAAGTTCAAGTCTTGTCTGGATAACTCAGACCTTTCTGTAAGGGCTAGGCATGTAGCTCAGTATAAAGGCTCTGGGTTCCAGCCCCAGTACAAAACCAAAAAAGTCCTGTGAAAGACCTCAAACCTCAGTCCTTCCCACGGTGTAGACAGGGACCCTGAAGGCGTGGCTGCAGCACTGGGCCTGGGGGCTGGGGATCTGCTCCAGCCCCTGACCAGCAGTCTTCATGGGGCAGGATCCCTATCTTCTCCCTTCCCCCCCCTCCACCCTGGGGCTCCTCTGTCCTGTAAACCCCCCGCCCCCAGTGCTCCCAGCTGCAACCTCAATGCCAGCCAGGGTCGCAAGCTCTACAGCAGCAAACCCCTGCGCCAGGCATGGAGGTCCACTGTGTGGGGGGCAGCAGGTGCTGGAGAACCCTGGTGCCAGCTGTGGGGAGGGACACAGTCTTTGACTGGGACCAGGGCAGGGGCACATGGTGTCCCAGGAAGCTGCGGTGTGCAGAAGTCAGGCTCCCAACCAGCACTGAGCTTGAAGCTCAGTCCCCGGCAACCTGGAGTCACATGTGGACACTGGCTCTTTAAACGTCCCTGGCCAGGGCTTCAATTGCCCCAGAGCCTGGGCAGGGCTAGGCCAGCTGTTGGAGACAGAAGAGAGGCCCCAGCTGTGGGAAGGCAGTGCAAACAGAAGCCAGGACCCCAACGTGACATTTGGAGTCCTAGGGCAGGCGACCCTTGGAGTCAAGCATGTCCTTTGGTCATTCACTCCACAAACACGGGCTGGACCGAAAGCACGTGCCTTGTGCTCTCCAAGGCGCCTGGGCAGGGGGCTCTGAAGATGCAGAAGGCACTGTCCCACCCTGGGGAGCAGAGAGACACGTGTAAACAAATAATTCTAAGTCAGTGAGCTAAGTGCTAATAGCAGAATCACTGAGAGTTCTGGGAGCCCAGGAGAAGGAGGGGCTGAGCCTGAGAGGTCAGCAGAGGCCACCCGGACAGTCTGAGACATCCCAGAGGACAAGAGGGGGATGGTGCTCGAGGAGTGGGAACAGCACCGCACAGACGGGGAGACCTGGGCACCAAGGCCACGCCGGGAGCCCCCTCCCAGGCACTGCTGGGCCTCTTCCGGAGGCCCTGGGGAGCTCCAGAAGAAGGCAGGCAGCAATCCTATTTACGTCCCGTGGCCATGTGCTGGAGGTGCACAGAGCAGCCCTCGTGGATGCCAGGAAGCCAAATCTGGTCCTCAGAGGCAGCAGCAGAGGCAGCCCAGAGGGAGCAAGGCACCCATCCTCAGAACGGGCACTATGGCCAGGGGAGTGTGAGTCTCAGCGCTGCCGTCAGTGGTTCCCAGCCTGGCCTTCCCCAGGGTAGGACGACCCACGATGGAGCAGAGCCTCCTGAGGGCATCTCTGGCGAGCCCCACCTGGGACCTTGGCCAGGTTCCCTGGGCCACACAGCAAAGGGGAAAGACAGGCGCAAGTCGCCCTGGCGTGGCTCCCAGGGGACATGGAAGGGAAGTGGGGGGGGCTGCCACTCACCTCCATGTCTCTAGCCAGACCGATAACTGGCCCGATGGCACTGCCCGCCAGGGTGGCCAGGGTGCTCCTGTGACCGTGGGCACCTGAATGCCAGGGCTCCCCAAGAGCATTGCTATGAGCATGGAGCAGGCCAGGGGAGACATAGGGACACCATGGAGCCCACAGTTTTGAGTCTCAGATAATCCCACTTTCTCCTGTTTTCAGAAGGTCGTGGCCCCATGGAGCCCTTATTTCCTATCACGCCGCATCTTTTTTTTTTTTTTTCACACCACATCTTTAAGACAGGAGCACCATCTGCCATCCACTTAAGCCAGCGTGCACTGCTGCTCCCTGCCCAAGAACACATCCGGTCCCCGGTGCCTTCACGGGGCCAAGGCCAGCCGCGGGGCCGGATCCGAACCGAGGGCTCCCAACACTCGGCCAGTCCCAAAGGGACGGCTCCTCCAGACCAGGGATCCTTCCTCGCACTCCACTGCGCCCTGGTCCTGGTAGTACCTGATGCCTCCGTGCCTACCCCTCAGACCCTGGCCCCACCCCAGCTGTCCTCCTCCACATATCAGATCTACTCTGCTGTAAAAATGGAAACGCCAGCCAGGTGTGGTGGCACTGTAATTGGACCCCTTGGGAGGCTGAGGCCGGAGGACTGCTGTGACTTTGAGGCCAGCCTGGCTATCTAGTGAGTTCAAAGCCAGCCTGAACTGCAGAGTGAAACCCCATCTCAACTGAGTGGGCTGCTGGCTCCTTTACAACTCCCCTCCGGCAAGTCTTGCTGTGCCCCACCTCCACTTGCTGCTCAGAATCGCAGGGTGCAGGTTCAGACAGGACCCCCAAGCCTGGACACCCCAGACTCCCAGCAGCCCTGGGCACAGCGCCGAGCCTCCTCCCACATGCACTGTCCTTCCTGCCCAGCTGCTGCCAGCCTTGGAATCGGGCTGCAGACGTTCTGCGAAGAGGAAAGTCTTCACCTTCTTGGCACTAGGGCTGGGTTTTGCAGAAGACCAGGGGGTGGCCAGAGGGCAGCTGGTGGCTTCAGGATGATTCCTGGGCGCTGCCTGTGCACACCGCACTCTGCTACCCTTCCACTGGCGCTCTTCACCCACGGCAGCCGCTCTGGGTTTTCCAAAGGAGTGTCCAGCGACCCTTCGGCTCCTGTGAGGATCTGATCCCTGATCCTGCACTGATCGCATAGGAGGCTGAGCTGGGGGTGAGGGCGCCCCTGGAAATACAGTTGTGTAGCCTAGCTCCTAACCCCTCCCACCTGCGTCTGCTCAGAATGCTCCAGCCCTGGAAAGAAAGTGGGGCTGCTTCTGGTCTTTCCTGAGAAGTCAGAGAGGCAGAGCCACTGAGGACCAGGAGTGGAGGTCCCCAGAACCAGCGGGGACATCGGACAGTTGACTGCTGTGTCCAGGCCCCTGTGGGACTGGCCTCCAGGCCATCCCAAGAAAGGCTTCAGTGCTCAGAGACGTGGGAACTCCAGCCTGTCCCTAGGTTTGCCAAGAACAAACAAGGAAAAGCCAAAGCAGAGCCAAGCACGCCGAGGCATGCTCCCCAGCCCCCGCCTGGCCCGAAGGGGTTCATGGGCAGCAGAGGTCCTGCTCTGCCATGGGGCAGGGAGCCTACCCCACAGGGATGGGTGTCACTGCTCACTGTCCACTCGGGCCATCATGTCACCTTGAGCCTGGCCATCCGTGCTGGCAGGAATGTCCACAGCGAGCTGAGGTTTACCGCCTGTCTCTTCTTTTGGATTCTCTCTCATAATTAAAAATTCCACCACACTGCTGTGCACATTTTGGCAGATGCTGCTGGCTTCCACCCTACATGCTGTCCCTGCTTCTTCCTGGAAAGCTGTCCTCACCTCTCTGCTCTGCTTTCTGGTGCAGGTGGCCACAGTTCCTCCATATGATGCACAACCGGGCAGCCCTTCCCACTCCAAGGGC